GCGTTACCACGCCCGGCTTATTTTTTGATTTATTGTAGAGATGAGGTCTCACCAAGTTGCCCAGGCAGGTCTCGAACCTGCAGGCTCAGGCAATCCACTCACCTCAGTCTCCCAAAGGCGTGGGATTACAGGCTGAGCCACCGAGCCCGGCTCATAAAAGTACATTTTAAAGCCAATGAATCCAGTACTGTTGTCCTCTAGTGGTAAAATAGTAAATAAATATTTGCCTCCACAAAGGCTGAGCTTTTCTCTTTAGTGACCATTTCCAAATTATTCATCACTCATCAAACTCCCCTTTTGTAAATCGGCATCGGACTCTTTCTTCAGCTTGGGTCCCCAGGTATTTCTTGAACTTCTGCCTTCCTTCCTTCATTCATTCATTCAAGATGTTTGTTGGACATTTAATTAGGTGCTGAAGTTACAGCTCTGAGCATGTCAGGCACAGCACAACAACTTCCTGTTGCTCACAGACTGCCAGGACTGTGTGACCCTTGGACAGGTCACCCCACATCTCTGAGCGTCCTCAGCAGCAGGCATGGTTGAAAGGCTCAAATTCTCAAGCCCTACTCAAGCATGACTTCCTCTGAGAAAATGACACTGGCAAATAGTGACTTTTTGCCATGGCCTCAGAACACCGTGTACACATGCTGTGATTTCTGTTGGCCTCTGTGTCTTAACACTCTGGTAGATTGTGTCTTGCTAATGCATATGTACACTAACCCAGAGGCATTGGGTTTAGTCACCCATTTGACAGATATTTAGAAGGCTCCTACTGTGTGCCAGGTGTTGGGCTGGCTGCTGGTGATGGAGCAGTGGGGCCATCAGGCCGGCCCTGCCCTTGAGGAGCTCACAGGAAAGCAGTTGCCTTATGATCACCAGGGGATGGGGGCAGTAGACACTGACCTTGGGTAGGGGGTCAGGGATGCTCTTCCTGCAGCTGTAACATGGAAGCTCATGCTTTTTGCAGATGAGTGGAATGTATATGGGCCAGGACTAGTGGGGAGAGAAAGAGGCAATGGAGGAAAGAGAGCAGTGTAGAGGAAGGTTCTGGCATTGTTCAGAGGCAGAAAAATCAGGGTGCCAGGAGCAGAGAGAGGGAAAGGGAGAGCAAAGTGCCACTGTCAAGGTAGACAGGGCCAGATCTGTGGGCAGGAGAGCCATAGAGTCACACCTGTGCTGTGTATGAGCACAGGGAAGGTGGGCAGGTGAAGGTCTCTGAGGACCTGTGGTTGCTTGAGGGACATGCCCTGTCCCATGAGGGCAGGCCTTATTGTGTCCATGACAGATATTGAGCTAGAGGTGGCAGCTTGTCAGATTTTCAAAAGAAGTCATAAATCTAGATTGAATGCCATATTTCATGATGTTTAAACATTGAAAACCAGTTGGCCTTTAACACTGAAGGAATCCAAACCCCTCCCATGTGTAGGCTGGATCCAGTCAGAGGGTCATTTCCACACACTTTGATGGGGAATATGTGCCTATGACAATTTGTCTGTTTCTAAAAGCAGGGGAACATACAGAAGGGTTGAGGTGGGGCAATGACAGGGCTTGATGAGCACTTTACAAAGACTTTGGGACTGCAGTGTGGAGAGAAATTGGATTCCAGCCAGGACTGGAGGGAAGAGCTGCTAGGAGCTCATATCAGGCTAATGACAGCACAAAGAGAGAGAGGTGGATGAGGCTGCGTGGGATCGTAGTGGGGGATGTAGTGCCCCAGGGAGGAGGGTCTAGGGAAAATCGCAGGTTACTGGCACACCAGCCAGGTAGAAAGGTGGTGCCAGATGCCGAAACAGAGAGCCCTGAAGGAGGAGGAGCAGCCCTGTAGGGGACAAGATGACAAATTTTTGACATAAACTGCACACATCACAGAGTAGCTGGAAGGCAGAGTTGACTCAAGGGATTCCCAGGCTAGGGTGCGCCCTCCCTGGAACCACAGGGCTCATCAGCATGGCCAAGGGTTACAGCCATCCATGCCCAGTTTCTGGTCTTGAACCAGCTGGAGAGCGTACATTGCTCCCTGTGGGCGATAGCAGGTAAGACTTCCAGATAGTCTTGGCCTTGGGTTGGAGGATGGGTGAGGATCCCTATAAATATCTTTTCTTTCTTTTTCCCCCAAATTCATGCTCTGGAAATAATCAATTGGGCTTCTGGTCGGGAAAAAACTTCAAACGGGACATTTTCATTCAACTCTCTGACAATTTACAATGTTCCAGCCGAGCGAGATTCACAGTTATACTGTCAAGATTTCGATTTCACTATTTTAATCATATTTCTAATTAACCTTCAAAGACTGAGACAACTAAGCTTTGAAAAGAGAGAGAGAAAAAACTGGGCTTCAACGGAGGCAATCGCTTTGAAATGCAGAGGCCGACAGAAGAGCAGGAAGGCGGCTTTCAGAATAGGCCGCCAGAAGGCAAGAGAGGAAAAAAACAGGAATTTAATGAGGGTGCCGTGAAAGTAATCAAAGACACATCATAAGACGCTGTGGTCGTTGAGCACTTGTGTGACATTTTATGCTTCCAAAGGGTGGTTTCAAAAACATATTAATGAGCTATTTCTCCTGCAAAGATGAAGCAGAAATGAACGTCAATAGAAACTGTAGGCAGAAGGATGAGGAGAGAGACCTGGGAATGATGCAGGGGTCATAAATGTGTGGTTTCCTGTTCTCAAAAGAGCATCCGGTCCAGCTCAGGGTAATTGCCTTTGAGCTCCCACTTTTCTTTCCTGATCTGCTTTCAAAGCTAATCATTGTTTTAAGGGTGTGGACTCTGCCAACCTAAGTAGCAAAGAGAGAGGGAGACTGTCTAAAATAAAATGTTGGGCCATGTGCTCTTTGAGCTGTGGCTACTGCTCGTGTTTCCTAAGCTCTGACCCCTCTCCTACCTTGTAGAAGTGAATTCTCCCTCTCTTTCTTTCACTTACTTCTAAATAAGCTATATTTTCTAATCTAAAAATAAATAAATGAATAAAGCAAAATGTTTACTTGGATTAGGCGTTATAATGGGAATATGTGTGCCATAGTGAACTATGTGAATATTCAGGGAGGCAAAGGAATATAAAGGTTTTTAAAGAAAAAATAAGGAAAATTGCACAACTTTTGAGGTAATTATTATTAATAGAAAGATCAATAGCAAAAGTGGCATCAGTTCAAGTTTGGACA